TCATGCCAAATCGAATGATGTAACTCTTAACAAAATCTATTTTTCGCGATTGACAGGCCTACCCACGTATTACTTTCGAGTAACAAACAAAAACTGTTGGAAAAAGATTGTTATTTGTATCGATACAAAAAGCACATCTGTATTCATATTATCTGCGCTGTATAACCAATTGCCTAAAACTTTATATCTATTCCATATATTACATCTCTTCAAGTTGCAACCAACTGCATTGTCCTATGAAATGGATAGTAGTAATTAGATTTTTTTAAAACGACAAAGTTATGTAGAAAAAGTTTAAAATGATATTTTCTTAACCATTTTGATGAGCTCTATCCAATGATGTCAAAAACAATGAAAATACATTTTGCTGAGTTTTTGCATTTCCGGCGCTTTATCCTCCTCACAACATTTTTTATTAAGAGTCGAACAGATGATGAAGGTACTCTTAATATCTGCAGCATTATATGGTCTCACACGTTTAAAGCCATAACAGTAGTATCCTGTGATTTTCGGTAATAAACGGAAACAGGGCTGCATTATCTTTTATTTCACCGTTTTACGTTTTTTTGGAAAAGAATAAAGGCATTAGAACTTTAGCGTACAGCGCTTTATCTTCTTCTTTTCAATGTCGCATATAGAAATCTGTATGTGGGACATAGTGCGCATCTTGTCGTATGTTAGATAAAGAAGATGCGTTATACGCTAAAGCTCTAATTAATGTCTGGCTACTTTATTCACTCGTCAATATATGAGAATAAAAAATCAAGGTTACTTTTTTTCTGAGAGCTTTTCTTAATCATTGACGTCTTTTTTTCTATATACCGAGTAATGTATAAAGTGTTTGTGCTTATTTAACTATTACACAAATTAAAAAACTGCGTTTTGGCGCTTGGTTAAATAAAAATAAAAAATCTTGTCTTCGTTGTTCACATTTTAAGGGTATTTTAGCATAACCTACATCTTGTAGCTGTATTTGTTGTAATTGCTGTTGTAATACTGTACGTAATTCTTTTGTACGAATGCGCCTTGTTGAATAATTTCCTTATATTTATCTGTCAAATACGACTCACCCCGACTAACTTCATTTAATATTGTTTTATTATCTTTTCCACCAGTTATCAAAGATTTTAAATCAATCCAACATCGATATAAAAGACCAGTTACTGCAGCACTTAGAGACGATGATGATGATGGTGTTGGTAATTCAAGCGATGAACCTAATGTTTGTTTAACCATCTGTTGTAATTGTTGACATATTGTTGCACGTGATTGTGATATAAGTTGAAATGATTCTTTAAGAGACTGATCCTGTGTATCTTGTGAACACGTTTCGAAACCTTATGAACTATCATGTAAGAGTTGTAATAATTCATCACATAATGATAAAACACTTGACGACATTGCTTTTTTAAACTGTAAATCTAGACGAAATCTAACGAGAACTTACGTGATTAATAAAAGAATTAATATTTATGTCATTTGTTAATTTCAGATAGAATTCGATTGATTACAGGATCTATATAGTGCAATAAAGGAGAAACGTTTATATAATATGACCTCGGATGAGTTGTTGAAAGAATACGCGGAAAGCGTTCGCAGCAACAACAATAATCGGATCGTTCAGACATGTTTTTCATATTCGGTGCGTACTCGTTTCTTCCTACTCAAGTCCTCGAAATCCATTGGCAGGCCGGGAAAGATTTTTTAGGGAGGGGCGATAGATTTTTAGAGCAGTGCATACACAAACTATAAAAAAAATAAAAAATAAAAAATATAATTCGAAATATAATTCTTCACAGGGCAATAACTGCTTATTGCCCTTGATATTTTTTTCCAGGAGGGGCAATCGCCTCCAATTGCTCTGCTGGCGGTCCGCCAATGTCGATACCCGTTTTCTATATAAAGACCAGAGTGGAAGTTTCTAGTATTGTTAACTTGCCAAGTAATCTCCGAGATGGCAGTCCTTGCTTGCAGATAAGCGATTCGGTAATATTCCGTTAGACAGTCATACACTCAGATGAAGAGAGTTACATTGATATACTATCGAAAGATATTCGTCACAAACTATCACTTTTAGCTGATCTAATACAAATTTCTTTGTAATTTTTTCTGCATCATCCAGATTCACACGGTCCAATAAAAACGTTTCTAATAAACGTAGTGCAAAATAATACTATAATTTTCAATACTACAACTCCAATCGGATTTTAACCCTAGCTGTGACCTTTGTAATATTTTAGATATAACTCCGCCATATTTTATTTGCTCTGTTCGAGCAACATTTCATTAGAAAGCCTAACTAAAACTGAACAAACTGCAGGGTTTTTTAATTTTTTAGTATTGAAACTGAAGTTTTTAGACGTCAAACAAGTGAAAAAATAGTGTTTCTAAAACCGAAATTTTTGAAATAAAACTAATTTTTCGGTACCTAAATAACACTTGACTAGACCTCCGATCCTGCCATCGGATACGGCATTCACTTCTCTACAAACTGAGTACAAAAAGAGTGCTTTAGAACCCCTAGAGCACCACGAAAACTGTGCTACAATAAGGCGCACCACACTAATTACTTCATCATTTTTTTAAAAATTTAAAAAGCAATCTCTACAAACTGAGGGCAAATAAATATATAAGTGTTAATATATAGGTGTTAATACATAAGTGTTATAAGTGTTATATAAGGTGTTAATATATAAGTGTTAATATATAGTGTTAATATATAAGTGTTAATTAAATAAATAAGTGTTTATCTGTTTCTTAGTAAGACAATATTTTCCATGTCTGGGATTGCGGACCCCAGCTATGCCTTCTAGGGTTGAAAACATTTTTCCAGAACATTGTCTTTATAGCTTTGCAAATTTATTGGATTATTTCAATACAAATACAGCACAAAATTGTACACAAAATATAATTTTTACTATACTTTAATTCAGACAATTATTATTTTCAATCGCTAAACATTTCGACGTTTACCAAAGTCGTCATCAGTAGCATAACAATTTTTAAAAAACAACTTGGCAATGAAATTAGAATAACACAAGTTTGTAGTTCGATGTTAAATCCACAGTTATGCCCTATGATGAACAATTTCTTTCTATGTATATTTCATCCTGTTTTCTTCCTTTCGTTGTGTCCATGTCTTGTATTGAAACATAATATAAAATACGACGAAGAAAAGAAATGAATTTTAATTTAGATGTAAAGAACTTAGGATGAAGAAAATAAAATGAAATAAAAAATGATACGAAATGGCTATTACCACCTCCAAAATGTGTCACTAAGTCGCTATTGCCACCTTCTAAGGTTGTCAACTAGAGTTAGTGCACGCATAGTATTATTGTGCACGCCACCTGCACACACAATTAGCGCTATTGTGAACTGCTGAAGAGATATTAATTTTCAACGAATAAACGATTTTCGCACAAAATACGTGAAAATACAGAACAATCAAAAATTAAAAGTTCATTAAAGGATATACCGACTAGCGAGCGATTGTTACACAAAATTTTTGAAAATAAATGGTAACACAAAACCAAGTTTTAGAAAAGTAAAATTCATGACCAAGAGCTAGCGAAAAACACTAGGGGTTGGGAGATTCAACTTTTTTCGTTAAATCGACTGGTGATAATTATAAAAACGATACAGATTCTGAATCTAGGCACGTTAGGCATTATGTAAGAGAAAACCTTTCTCTGCTTGGACTTACACTGTTTGGGAGAAAAATGGCTTTCCAAACTGAATGCTTATTCTAAGAGATATGTCCAGCGCAATGAGTCCGCTAAATTCGGCTAGTCCAATTTGGTTACAAACTACATGGAAATGTTCGTCTCCATGTTCTACATCAATAGTGCATGCACAAAGATGCACAATAGTTCCTATGTCTGGCTACAGATCTCTAAGAAAACCCTGGTTTTTGAGCTAAAACCCATTTTTCTCGGCTTAGGGACACTTTTATTGAAAACCAAGGTCAGATTCGGGATCAGTACACTGTAAAAAAAATGTGTTCTTCGTGTTTTCAGAGAACGAGTTGAAGATCTCATTTAAGTTCTTTAAAATATGAAGAACTTAATTTCTATTTTTCAATAAAAACTGAGTTTTTCACTCATTTCAGTTTTTCGGCTTATTTTAGTTTTTCAGGATTTGGAAAACACAATATTTCTTTTGAGTTCTCTGAGTTATAATTAGAAAGTCATTGCAAAGCTTGCCTTTTCAAACGATAATTACCGATATTCAAAGGCATATATCTCAAAAACAAAAAGTGATCCTTTTCTAAGAAATAGATTCTAAGTATACAAATTACAAAATATTATATACAGAATATGTACATTAAGTGTAATTTGTTAATTTAGAAGAGAATGCGCTATCTATAAGAGAAGTATAATTAGATTATGTTATCATTCAATTTTTCTCAAATAGATCAGGCTCTTATAAGTGATCACTTTTACGTTCAGTCTGGATAAATGAAACTTTAAGACACTTATAATTCGGAACATTTGATACATTTTTCAGAAAAAGGTTTCTTCTACTTTTCAAGAAATAGAGCTGTCAATCAACATCAAAGATAAAAGTTAGTAAAATAGATTCGTTTCCATTTAATTATAGTGATTTCACTCGAAAAAATAAATGTAGAACTTGAGCTTCTCTGACTATGATGTTCCAAAAAGTGATCAAGAAAGTTATGTTGGTCATTCCAAATTCGTGCAATTTATAAAATTAAACTGAAATCCATACATTTTACTAACTTTAGTCTATGATATTGAGATTTCTATATCTTAAAAACTAAAAAAGACCCTTTTCCAAAAAATAGCTTGGCATAGAGTACAACTTGTGTACTTCAAACTGCCAGAAAAACTGGAGAAGGGTACCTTCAAATTTGTTAACTTTTTACTCTGGTAAGTTGCCAGAATAAACACTAATTTCATGGTGAAGGGACTCTTTCTTTTGGATAAAACGATAAAATTTGTTCTCTTCTCCATTTCTTGCTTTATATCTGTGTCTCTGTAGTATGCACAGCAAGAAGAAAACATCAAAGTTTCAACTAGCTGAACTAGCGCGTGGATTATATAGAAGTGAAAATGGATCCCCTATAGTTAATTTAATTATTATTCTGGAAGTTGGCAGAATATAGGAAGCAGAATTAAGACTACCGTGACCCGAAGAGAAGCCCGAAAGTCATGCTAGTCAAGAATTCCTTAACAAATGATTTCGCTTGTTAATTGGCAGAGAAAGTACATCTATGTCTCATATTTAGCTCCGTTATTGACAGCCCTGTATCTCATAAAGGAGACTCTACCCTTTTCTAAAAAATGGCTCGACGTATAGTATATCTTGTGTACTTCAAACTGACTTAGAAAACGAAGAGGTGCACATCCTAGTTAGTTTTATTTTAATCTGTTAAGTTCACAGAATATAGAGTAATTTTATAGTGAGTGCAGCGAACATTTGGATCCAAATCAAAAAAAAAATTCAAACCTAGAAGCAATATCTATCGTATATCTCATATATCAACGTTATATTGTTCTTTTCTGTTCTCTTCTTCTATTTTAGGAAAAAAATCTCTGGTTCACTCTCTATCGTTTCTTACTTTTCTTTTTTCGTTTCTGTTAATTAATCTATCAAATATAGAAAGCGCTTAAAGCGATGAACAATGTGACGGCATCCCATACAGAAGCTTAAACTTATTCTCAAAAAGTTCTATTTATGTATAAAAATGTGCACACTTCGAGAACATGTTTGTTCTTGACGATAGAGTTCTAAAATTCGACTCGGACCTAACCAGTCGAGTACCTACGATGTCTAGTATCTGATTCGACCGCGGTCGAATGAGGTTCCAAATGACGTTCGAGTTAGGATGTGGATTACATAGTTTTCTCCACTTGTGCAGGTTTCCAGTTGAGAATATTTATACTGAATAAAAGAATAATTCTACATATGATCACAGCCATCGTACTGATTAAAAAAAGTTGTTCGGTGAAAAGAGGAATTAAGATCCAGATTTTTAAAAAAGTCAAAGAACAGAAATGTGTTTTTCGACCTGATATTTTCTGGAAAACAAATGTCTTAAATCTAAAAAATGAAAAACTCAATTTCTGTGTTTCCTGAAAATGAAAAAATTAGTTTTGCAAATTTTCAGAAAACTCACCTCAGATCCATATTTGGGACAAACGAAAACACAGTTTCACTTTTCTGAAGAAGATCTCTTTTTAGAGTGTGCGCAAAACCACATCGAAGGCGTATGATAAAGGCATGTCCATCCGTCTAAGCTAGAAATGCCTACTCTGTCTCGTTGACGAGACATTCAATTTTGCAAAAGCCGTAACCATAAAATTCGGCCCCTATTTCGCCATTTTCTGCACCAAATGCCAACTTTTTGACAAAACCAAGGTCAGATTAGGAATCACCGTCCAAAAACTGAGCTGAATGACATAAGTCTTAGGGATCTTGAGTGAATTCAAAAGTTCTTCGATTTTCCAAAAATCCGAAACCAAAATTTTCAGTATAAATCTGAATTCACTCACCATTCCTAAAACCTATCATTCAACTCAGATTCCGACGCTGATTCCGAATATGACCTTATTTTTGTCAAAAAGTTGGAATTTTATGCAGAAAATGGCAAAATACGGGCCCAATTTTATTGTTTTGGGTTAGGTGTTTTCAAAATTGAATTTCTCGTCAACGAAGTA